GCAGGCTTCCCGCCGAGCAGGGAGCCCGATGCGGGGCTCGATCCCAGGACCCTGGGATCATGACCTGAGCCGAAGGCAGACGCTTAAGGCCTGAGGCACCCAGACTCCCCACTTTACTGACTTTTAAATAAAGTTCACATAGTATCTTCTTAAAGCCTTTGTATAAATATTAGTGATTTTATTGTAACTTTGATTACATGGAAGATGTATATTAGTATCTTAGTCTTTTAAAGCAACATAAATTTATTCTGTCACAGTTTGGAATTAGGAAGTCTAACATGGGTGGGTAGGGCTACATTCTTTCTGGAGGCTCTAGGGGAGAATTCGTTTCCTTTCTTTTTCCAGCTTCCAGAGGTCACCTGCTTTCCTTTGTTCATGGCCTTTCCTCAATCTTCAAGCCAGCAATGTAGCATCTTCTCTCTGAGGTCTGCTTCTATCCGCACATCTTTTCTCAATGACTCACCCTCCTGCCTCCTTCTTAGAAGGACCCTTGTGATTACATTAGGGCCATCTAGATAATCTAGGATAATCTTCTCAAAATCCTAATCACATTGGGGCGCCTGGGTGGCTCAGATGGTTAAGCGCCTGCCTTCGGCTTAGGTCGTGATCTCCAGGTCCTGGGGTCAAGCTCCATGTCAAGCCCGATGTTGGGCTCCCGGCTCAGCAGGAAGTCTGCCTCTCCCTGGGTGCCTCTCCCCGCTGCTTGTGCTCGCTCTGTCCCTCTCTCTTTCTCTCAAATGGATAAATAGAATCCTTAAAAAAAAATCCTAATCACATCTGCAGAATGCCTTCGACCATGTAAGGTAACGTTCAGAGATTCTGGGAATTAGGACATGGACATCTTTGGAAGACCATTGTTCAAACTACCAAAAATACCCTTCTTATTCCCATAATTGTAAAAAATATTTTTATCTCCACATTGGTACTCCTGTAACTCAGTGTTGGTTTTGAGATAGTTCATTGCTTGTCTGAAACATCTTAGAAGTGAAAACATTTGGTTTGTTGAATGTCATAGCAATGTGCGTGGATTTGTTTTGTTTTAGACATCTTGAGAAGATGAAAAAATGCTATCTAGTAAGCAATGGAGATTGCTACCTTTCTGCAGAAATATTATCAAAACTTAAACTGCTAGACGCATCTCAGTGGAATGAAGAACACTTAAGAAATATTCAGGCTGAGGTTGTAAAACCCTTACTTCTATATTGGTGAGAAAAATAATGTGAATCAAACTTATTTGCTTTTACTTTTCCTAGGCAGGTTATGAGTTATACTTTTTTGTCTTACCGATTTATAATTTACTGAGATTTAAAATGACAAGATTATTAAATCTTTTGCCTTCCTTAAAGTCAGTTAGAGAAAGACAAATACCATATATTTCATTCATATGTGGAATTTAAGAAACAAAACAAACAACGATTTAATGAATATCATGAAGCAAATACTTATGTAACCACTACGTGGGCTGGGAAATAAAACATTGCCAAGACCCCTGAAGGTCCCTTATCGATCACAACACCCTCACTCCCCCTTGGAGGTAACCACTATCCTGACTTTTGTGATTATCATCCTCTTACTTCTCTTTATAGTTTTACCAACCGTGTATGCAAATAAATCCTTAAGCATATACTTTTCTCTGTTCTACAACTTTATATAAATGGAATCATGTTGTATGCATTCTTTTGTGTCTTCTATCAACATTACATGAGAGAATTGTCTGTAATTGTGTTTAAGAGTTTTATTGATTTTCATTGTTGTTTATTGGTATTCTGCATGAATATACCATAATTGCTATTTTTTTTTAAACATTTGGGTTGTTCCCTACTTTTCACAATTAAAAGCAGTGCTGTAATGTATATTCTTATACACATATCCATTTTTCTACAGCAGTTGTATCCATTTATGCTCTCATCAACAGAATAAGAGAGTGCCCATTGTTGTAAATCCATGGTGGCATTTAATATTGTCAAACTTTTAAATTTTTGCATATGTGTTTAGTGTGTTATTGGTGTCATGTGGTTGTAACTGGCATTTCCCTGAGTACTAGTGAGGCTGATAATCTTCTCCATGATCAGTCATTTGGTCATTTGGATTTCAATTTTCATTAATTGCTTGTTTATCTCATTTGCGCATTTTTCTATTGGGATATATATGCACACACATATGTACATACTCACACACATACACACATCATATTGAATACAGTTTCTTTGATCGTATTATGTGACATACCTTCTCCCACCCTCTAGAGCTTGAGAATTAAGTTGTGTGCAGTGTACATGAGAACTCATATGATGGAAGCATGAAAAATAATACAACACCAGTTTGATTGATTGTGAAACTTATTCCACAATATTTGATGAAGTTACATAGTGGCTAATAAAAAATTAATGCTATGAGTGAAATAATAATGCAAGATTAAATTGATAGGGGCATTTTAGATAAGCAGAGACTTTTAGATAAGCAGAGACTTATGGGGGTCCATATGAGTATAGTATAATGATGGAAATCAGAAAATTGAGACACTTAGATTTTCTGGCCAGCACATGTATGCTTTATTGGATAAGGATCTTGTAGATATTCCCACTTACTGGTTGACATGAGAATAAGAGGTCATTTTGGATATTTCCAAGTATGCAAGTAAAGGTTCTGAAATATAGTTAGGATGACCACCTAGATCTATACAGTGTTCTCTCTGAATCTAAACTAATTATGATCTTTGGATTTTCTTCCACTCCCAACCTGTGTTCACATCAGGGGAATATCTGCTTTCTTCCTGTTTTAAAGGGAGGCAGTTTTGTTGTTGTTGTTGTTTTTGTTGTTGTTGTTGTTGTTTCTACCAGGACCTGAAATATGGAGTGAGAATTTGTCTTTGGGCTGTGGCATCAGGGAGGAAACCTGGTCCGAGCTGCAAATAGCATCAGGCCTGACAGCTGGGGTTAGCCCTGTAGCCAATAAAGAGCCCATAGACTAAATACCAGGATAGCCATCCAATTAAGCACGGCCTTGACATTGTGCCAAACATTCTTTTTCCTGGGTTTCTGGAAGTAGTGTTGGTCTGTCATTTATATAAATTGTTGTAAAACTAATTCTTATCTTTAAATTTAAGGCTTGAAAATAGAGCATATGAATCAAAATCCACTTTAGTAGTATAGTTAAACATTATAAAAATGTCTTTATATTTTAAAATGTGAATTTCATCTACCAGTTTTTTTTATTATGTTCAGTTAGCCAGCATATAGTACATTGTAAGTTTTTGTTGTAGTGTTCAACGATTCATTAGTCGCGTATAACACCCAGTGCTCATCGCAACACATGCCCTCCTTAATGCCCATCACGCACTTACCCCATCCCCCACCCCCCTCCCTTCTGTAACCCTCAGTTTGTTTCCCGGAGTCCAGAGACTCTCATGGTTTTTCTCCCTCTCTGATTTCTTCCCACTCAGTTTTCCCTCCCTTCCCCGTGGTCCTCCGCTCTATTCCTTATGTTCCACATATGAGTGAAACCATATGATAATTGTCTTTCTCTGCTTGACTTATTTCACTTAGCATAATCCCCTCCAGTTCCATCCATGTCAATGCAAATGGTGGGTATTTATCCTTTCTGATGGCTGAATAATATTCCATTGTGTATATACATATATATATATGTATATACACACACACTACATCTTCTTTATCCATTCGTCCATTGAAGGGCATCTCGGTTCCTTCCACAGTTTGGCTATTGTGGACATTGCTGCTATGAACATTGGGGTGCATATGCCCCCTCTCTTTACTGCTTTAAAATGACCACATATGCATTTTATGTTTATTTTACTAGAAACTGTAAGTTATTTTTAAAAATTCCTTCAATACAATAGATATATAGATTTCTTTTTCTTATCAAACAGATAGTAATTTGAATGTAATTTTATTGTTTTTTTCCTAGTGTATATTGCCTCTTTATATGAGTGAGTGTGATTTCAGGCAGTTGATATATCGTAGACAAACATTTTTTTTAAGGCGAGGCAGCAGAAAAAAAGTGGGAATTTTTAGAAAAAGGATTTGGTAAGACTGATCATTGTGAGCATTGGCATTCTAGATTTTGTAGGCTTTCGATTTTTGAGGCTTATTGTCTAGCTTAATCTTAAATTTGTTTTTCCTTTGATTAGGGCACCAAGATTCTGTGTTACTCATTCATCCTCAGCAAAACATGCTAGTGCTGAACTGAAATTCTGGCACCTCCGTCAAGAGAAACCAAGGAAGGATGTTGACCCATTTCCACAAATGGCAACCCTCTTGCCATTAAGACCTAAATCTTGCATTCCACAGATACCTGTTATGCAGGTTGGGTAGACATTGATACTTTGATTTCTTTATTAAGTTTATGATAAAATATCTATGCTTGGGTTTTGTGCACTAATACTTAAGTTTTATAATAAGCTTTTTTTTAAAGATTTTATTTATTTACTTGACAGAGAAAGACACAGCAAAAGAGGGAACACAAGCAGGGGAAGTGGGAGAGGGAGAAGCAGGCTTCTCGCTGAGCAGGGAGCCCGATGCGGGACTCGATCCCAGGACCTGGGACCATGACCTGAGCCGAAGGCAGACGCTTAACGACTGAGCCACCCAGGCGCCCTATAATAAGCTTTTTTGGGGGGGTTGTTGTTAATGTGCATCCTGCAACAGTTATGAGTTAAGAAAACCCATGGTCTGTTCTCCACCAAGCAACCAGAGTGAGCCTTTAAAAATATATGATCAGGTCACTCACTGGCTCAGGATTCCCTAGGGGCCTCCTCTCTCACTCAGAATAAAATCCCAGGTCTTTACACAGCTATACACACCCCTGCTGACTTCCTGACCTCATTTCCTACCATTCTTCTTGAACCTGGTCTACTGCAACCACACTGGCCTCTCTGCTGTTCTTGGAACACACCACGCAAAAATTGGGAAGTGGTGCATTTGTTGTCCCCTTCACGTGGAGCACTGTTCTTCCAGCTATCTATGTGGCTTGTTCCCTCACTCACTTTAGGTGTGTGTTCGAGCATCGTGTATTCAGAGAGGCTGTCCTTGACATTTCCATATGAGCACACTTGCATAGGATGGCACAGATGCCCTCCATCACTGTGCAAGCCCTCTGCTGTGCTTGATTTTGCTTGATAGTACTCATGACCACGTGATTAATGTTTATTGTCTTATAGTCTCCTACTGGAATATCAGCATTTACCCAAAGTGCCCGGCACATGATAGTTGCTTAATAAATATGAATGAATGAATGAATGAATGAGAAGTAGCAACAGCAGAATTAAAAGTAGTGAGTACTTTTTATAATGGGGGAGAATAAAATAGTACAAAAAGATAAGGACAAAGTCAAAAAAGAAAAGGGAAGTTCAACTTTATACAGAAGAAGTAAATAACCCTACATACTTTGTAGCCAAAACGTGCATTTCAGGAGTAAAGAGTCTTCTTAATCTTAATAGCCTTTATTTATTTATTTTTTATTATTTTATTATTTTTTTAAAGATTTTATTTATTTATTTGACACAGAGAGAGACAGTGAGAGAGGGAACACAAGCAGGGGGAGTGGGAGAGGGAGAAGCAGGCTTCCCGCGGAGCAGAGAGCCCGATGCGGGGCTCGATCCCAGGACCCTGGGATCATGACCTGAGCCGAAGGCAGACGCTTAACGACTGAGCCACCCAGGTGCCCCTTATTTTTTATTTTTTAAAAGATTTTTATTTATTTATTTGACAGAGAGAAAGAGCACAAGCAGGGGGAACAGCAGGCAAAGGGAGAGGGAGAAACAGGCTCTCTCCTGAGCAGGAAGCCTGACATAGGGCTGGATCCCAGGACCCCGGGATCATGACCCGAGCCGAAGGCAGATGATTAACTGACTGAGCCACCCAGGCGCCCCTCTTAATAGCCTTTAAATGTGTCACAGAATGTTAAGTGTTACCAGCCATAGTCACACACAACCCCTTCTAAAGAGATTATTTTATGTTCAGGGTATCTTATTTTAAAAGGTAGAGAGATATAGAACAGTTCTTAAAGTTTGACTTCAACAAGTCGTGTTTGAGAGCTGAAGAGACTTTTCATGTTTTCTGTCAGTGGTTTCTTAGCCCTAGGTGCACATTAGAATCACATAGAGAGCTTTTCATTAAGACCTACTGATGGCTGGGTTCCACCTTCAGAGATTCTGATTTAATTGCTCTGGAATGGGTCAGAATCATTCTGTAAAATCAGGAGGTTGGCTTAGAACTGAGGCTTTCAACCTGCCTGAACACAATTGTCACATTTTGGAACCCACGTTTTGATAGGATTGCTAGAGGATTGGTATTCAAAGCACTGAGGTAACCTGGTGGTTCTGAAGCTTCAGCGTATATGCATAAGAGTCATCCAAAGAGCTTGTTAAAATAGATCCCTGGGCAGGCGCCTGGGTGGCTCAGTCGGTTAAGTGTCTACCTTCAGCTCTTCTTCTCCCTCTCCCTCTGCTTCTGCTCTCTCTTTCTGTCAAATAAATAAATAATATCTTAAAAAAAATAGATTCCTGGGCTTCACCTGAATACCTAAAGTCAGGAGATCTGGTGTGGGGCCTACGGATTTGCCATTTTCAACAAGCTTCCTCCCAGGTGATGCTCTTGCTGCGGGTTTGAGGACCACACTCTGAATTAGTGTCACTTTAGCGCACTAATGATTTCCTATCTGTTTTGATATTTTCCTGACCTCCTTTGCACCGTGTGGCTTTTTTCTCTGCCACTTCACTATAAATCTAATCTTCCCCCATTCGCCCCTGTGACCAGTTAATATATGTCTTAGAGGTGTCATGTTGGGAGCATGTATTCTGATAACATAGAAATGTTTGTACAAATAACATTTGTACGACATTTGGGAGGTAAGTGGCAAGATAGAGTAAGTGGTGTGGTTAGGGAAAGGAACTTGAAGGACAGCAATGCCAGAGGAGTGGGGAGAGATTGATCTCAGCCCAGGTCTTGATCTCAGGGTCCTGAGTCCAAGCCCCACTTTGGGCTCCACAAGCGGTGTTAAGGTGTAATTTATAGACAGTAAAGTTTACCCTTCTTAGTGTACAGTTTTGTGAATTTTGACAGACATATCCATCGTGTAACTGCCATCATAATCACGATATAGAACAGTGCTTTTACCTACCCCACCCCACCCCCAATTCCACAGGGTCCTTTTAGTTTCTTCTCCATCAGGGATTTTCTGGGTACCCTTCTAGTTTTCACCCAAGCCAGAAAGGCCTAAAATTCTAACTTAGGCTTTTCTCTGTATAAGACATTTAATTTTTTTATTTTATTTTAAGAAAACTTGTTTCAATGTGGTAAAAAAACATGTAAAATTTACCACCTTAAGCATTTTCAAGTGTACACTTCAGTAGTAAGTATATTTGCATTGTTGTGAAACAGATCTCCAGAACTTTTTTATCTTGTGGATTTGAAACCACATACCCATTAAACCACTCCCCTTCTCCTCCTGCAGCCCCTGGTAACCACCATTCAACGTTCTGTTTTTATGAATTTGACCACTTTGTATGATACTTTTAATAAGCTCAGCCCCCTGTGGTACCACTCATTTATTGAGTGTTGCTTAATGTCACGCTGTGTTCTGAATGACTAAAACAGATGTAAGCCTGATACCTAGGAAGTTATGTGTAAACCATACTTAAGTAATTAATTTTGTTTATGGAATTCTTAAAAAAATATTAGTAGTTGTTAGGCACCTAGAGTGTATATAAGATTTTATTGTTTGTTCTGGATAATAAAACATCACAAATATATTCCTTGCTCTCCAGCAACATATATTAAATTCCAATAGAAGTTGACATATTTGACTTTTTTTTTCCAAATTATAAAATAACAAAACTACTGTAAATTTGGAAACTGAAGACAAATCACTTTTTTTTTAAAGGCTTTTATTCATTTATTTGAGAGAGAGCATGAGTGGGGGAAGGGGCTGAGCAGGGAGTCCAATTTGGGGCTCGATCCCAGGATTGATCCCAGGACCCTGAGATTATGACCTGAGCCGAAGTCAGACGCTTAACCGACTGAGCCACCCAGGGACTCCCTAAACAAATCACCTCTGATCTCACCTACTTGTAGACAACTATTACTTATTTTCTCTTGGTCTTGTTGTGAATTTTTAATTTCAATGTACTTACACTTTTGTATTCTGATTATTTCTTTTAACATCTTCATCACATTTTTCCATATATCATAATTTCATAATCCTTACTTTTTTTTTTTAAAGATTTTATTTATTTGACAGAGAGAGACACAGTGAGAGCAGGAACACAAGCAGGGGGAGTGGGAGAGGGAGAGGCAGGCTTCCCGCTGAGCAGGGAGCCCGATGCGGGGCTCGATCCCAGGACCCTGGGATCATGACCTGAGCCGAAGGCAGACGCTTAACGACTGAGCCACCCAGGCGCCCCCATAATCCTTACTTTCAAGTGTTATGTAATGTTACATTTATGTATATCCCATACTCAGATCATTGTTTCTTTTTCCTACATTTGGACCTTTAAGCGTTTATACTTTTTTTGATTTGTGCATGTGGCTTTTACCAAATAGTTAACTCTATCATAAATAACATTTAAGGATGGGAATAATAACCACAAAAATAAAATGTCCAAAATGGAAGGAGATAGTTTTGTTAAGGTATAGGTCTTTATTATGGACCGGTTGTATCCTTGCTTCCTTTCCCTGCCCTGCCACCCCCCTTCCCCAGCCCCCCTACTCCACCCCTCAGATGTACTAAAACCTATGCAGTTAGAGAATAAAGAAGTTTTTGTGAAGTTCTCCCTCTAGGAAAGAGTCTTCTTTCACAGTGCTATGAATAAGGATATATAAACCTTTGGCCTTTCTCTTCTTATATTCTAAAGAGTTGTAGGGGGTTCAGCCTGCTGGTTGTATAAAAGCAGGAGTTTAGGAAGCAGTACATTTGTATTCTAATGGAAAGCATGGTAGGCAGTAGACTGAGAGAAGAAATCCTCTAGTGATGGGCAGAGCTATGCTTTATTCTCTGGCCCTTTTTTTTCCCCTTTGTATTGCTCATTTTTCACTTTGTGTATTTTTTTTACCATTTTTTAGAAAGAAGAATCCAGTTTATTACAAAGTCCTAAATCTCCCAAGAAACCACCTCGAGTGAAAACAGCAGTTCAAAAACCTTGGAGGAGCAAGTCTTTGTATCTAATTTCTTCGAAGGATGATGTGATTGAGAAAGGGTAGGTACTGCTTTTTATGTGCCAAGTGTTATTCTGCAATGGTAAGATTTTTGAGGAATTGAAAAATTAAATAGAAATTGAAAACTGAATACATTGATTTTTTTTTTTAATAGGAGTTCCTTACATATTTCATTGATAGGTGTTAGAGTCATGCATACTCTGAATTAGGAACAGAACTCCTGAGATTAGTCATTTGAAATAGATGGTGCCTCTGATCTCCACCCTTTTATGAGCTGTACGGTCAAAAGACTTCTGAGAAGATTTCCCTCCAGTTCTTACTTGGCCCTGTTCGGTATTTCTCAAACTTGCGAACTCATAAGACTGTCAAGAATTTTGTCATTATTTAACACAGCATATTACCTTATTCATTTAGATTTGCCCACATATGTACTCTTTTTACTGTTCTTTATTTCAAATGGGATTATTTTCCGTCAACCTAAAAAAATACCCTTTGGTGTTACCTTTGGTGTGGGATCTGCTGGTCCCACTAATTTATTACTTCATTTTTATTCTTTTGTTTTCCTTCGGGATAAAATTCACTAACACAAAGTTCACCATTTTTAACTTATCTTTAATGTTTTTTGTTTTTTTTTACTTGTAGACTGTGCCAAGATCAGCCTGAGGTAAAACTTAGGGCCTTTTTAGGTCCTCTCTAGTATGTGCCTTTTCCTGGGCATGTGTGGTCACTTTCTAATTTTTCCCTACAAATGCATTTTGCTTTTGAATGTCCTAATCTTTCATGTCTGCCTTCTAAAAGGAGGAAAAAGAGAAAAATGAAGATTGGGGGTAAAAAGGTCAATGTCTCTTTAAGTTCCTGGAAGTCCCTTCAGCCTGAAGGGGACTGGGCTTGCAACCACGTGGAGCAACCACAGTGGCCACCTGCCTTGTCTGCACCTCTGTGATCTGCAGCAGCAATCAGAGATCAGAGCTCAGATCCCTGAGATTTGGTAGACAGGGTCTTTTCTGCTCGCCCTGGCTTTTGCAGCTGTATGCAGAATGCTCCAGAACACATGCACAGCTGTCTGCCACAGGGCTGGGGGTAGGGAAGGTTAGCTGCTGCTATTGTGTTAGCAACTCTAATTGACCAAAATGAACCCAATTTATTCTGCAAGCCTTCCCCTGGAAGGTGAAAGCCTTAAGACTCCAGGGTTCCAAAAGAGTTACATTAGATTCTGCCAGTGCAATTGTTGTTTAGGGGGGGAGGCAGGTTCCTGGTGCTTCCTACTCTGACATCTTCCCAGAATCCTCACCTCTGGGAATTTTGTTTTCCTCAATGAGTTTTGGCCCCAGAATTCCTTTTAAAAAATTTATTATTATTATTATTGTTATTGTTATTATTATTATTAATTTTAACTCCAGTGTAGTTAACTTACAGTACTATATTAGTTTCAGTTTATATTAGTTTATAGTGCTTGAATAGTTCCATGTATTACTCACTGTTCATCAAGAGAAGTGTACTCTTCATCCTCTTCACCTATTTCACCCATCCCCCCACCCACCTCTGTAATCCTCAGTTTATTCTCTAAAGTTAAGGGTCTGTTTCTTTAGTTTGTCTCTCTCTTTTTTTTCCTTGTTTGTTTTGTTTCTTAACTTCCACATATGAGTGAAATTGTGGTATTCGTCTTTCTCTGACTGACTTATTTCCCTTAGCATTACACTCTCTAGATCTATCTGTGTTGTTGCAGATGGCAAGATTTCATTCTTTTCTATGGCTGAGTAATATTCCATTGTAAATATAAACCGCTTCTTTTTTTTATATTGTCAGTTATATTACCTTTTTAAAAGTTTTTTATTGTAATTCCAGTGTAGTTAATGTACAGTGTTATATTAGTTTCAGGTATACAATATAGTGTTTCAATAATTCTATAGATTACTCAGTGCTTATCGTCGTAAGTGTACTTTTTAATCCCCAACACTTATTTCACCCATTCCCCCCCCACCTCCCCTTGGTAACCATCAGTTTGTTCTCTATAGTTAAGAGTGTGTTTCTTGGTTTGTCTCTCTCTTTTTTCCTTTGCATTTTTGTACTGTTTCTTAACTTCCACATATGAGTGAAATCTTGGTATTCGTCTTTCTCTGACTGACTTATTTTGCTTAACATTATATTCTCTAGCTCCTTCCATGACGTTGCAAATGGTAAGATTTCATTTTTTATGGCTGAGTAATATTCCATTGTGTATGTATACCACATCTTCTTTATCCATTCATCTATTGCTGGACATTTGGGCTGTTTCCATAATTTGGCTATTGTGTACAATATACATACATGAATTAGTGTTTTTGTATTTTTGGGGTAAATATCTAGTGGTGCAATTGCTGGATCGTAGAGTAGTTCTATTTTTAACTTTTTTTTTTTTAAAGATTTTATTTATTTATTTGACAAAGAGGGACACAGCGAGAGAGGGAACACAAGCAGGGGGAGTGGGAGAGGGAGAAGCAGGCTTCCCGCTGAGCAGGGAGCCCGATGCGGGGCTATCCCAGGACCCTGGGATCATGACCTGAGCCGAAGGCAGATGCTTAACGACTGAGCCACCCAGGTGGCCTATTTTTAACTTTTTTAGGAAACTCCATACTGTTTTCTAGAGTGGCTGCACAGTTTGCATTCCCACCAACAGTGCACGGGGATTCCTTTTTCTCCATATCCTCGCCAACACTTGTTTCTTGTGGTTTTGATTTTAGTCATTCTGACAGGTGTGAGGTGATATCTCATTGTAGTTTTGATTTGCATTTCCCTGATGATGAGTGATGTTGAGCATTTTTTCATGTGTCTGTTAACCATCTGGATGTCTTCTTTGGAAAAATATCTGTTCATGTCTTCTGCCCATTTTTAAATTGGATTATTTGTTTTTTGGTTTTGAGTTGTATCAGTTCCTTATATATTTTTGATATCAACCCTTTATCAGCTATGTCATTTGCCGATATCTTCTTCATTCAGTAGGTTGTCTTTTAGTTTTGTTGCTTGTTTTTTTGCTGTGCAGAACCTTCTTATTTTGATATAGTCCCAATAGTTTACTTTGGCTTTTGTTTCCCTTGCCTCAGGAGACATATCCAGAAAGATACGATTATGGCCAATGTCTGAGAAATTACTGACTGTGTTGTCTTGTAGGAGTTTTATGGTTTTAGTCTCACATTTAGGTCCTTAATCCATTTCTAGTTTATTTTTGTCTCTGGTGTAAGAAAGTGGTGCAGTTTCATTCTTTTGCATGTAGCTGTCCAATTTTCCCAGCACCACTTGTTGAAGAGAATGTTTTTTTCTATTGCATATTCTTGCCTTTTTTGTCAAAGATTAATTGACCATGTAATTGTGGGTTTATTTCTGTTGGCTCCGAAATTCTTGACTACATTGTTAGCACTCAAATTTCTTTTAGCAGATTAATTTTTGTATTTTTCAGTTTATCTAGTAGGTCTTTAAAGGGAGAGTTGGTCTAAATCACCCTGGACCTGATACTTGTACTTTTCTTCCCCTGTTCTCTCACAGCATTCAGATACACTCCTAAGATTTGGTGCCACATATACCAAAGGTGTTCAATATATATTGATCAATGCGTTCTTATCCTTATAATTTAGGTTGAGGCGCAGGTCAGAAAGCAGCAAAATTATTCGCTTAACATCTTTTACTGACATTTCTGAATGTCTGAAACCCCAGCTGGATAGAAGATACACCTACACAGAAGAACCTTTGGTAAGTATTTTGAGAACTGATTTATCTGACTCTTCATTTAACTGACCAATGTCCCCTGATTTTAGAGAATTTTTATTGATTTACCATAGTATTTTTTTCTCTACTAAACAATACACTTTATTTTTTCCTTCCAAAAAGATTTGTATACAAAAATTTTATCTGTGTTTCCTTTTGTAGTTCCATGTTGCTATGTATACTCCATTGATTACTATTTTCAAAAACAACTGTCTTCCAGTTTTGGTGTGAGAATACCTTAGATACAAAATAAGACCATCTATTATTTTTATTAAATTGCTAATATTTGATAAAAAATAATGTTTGATGTTATGTTTTGGAAACAATTTTTATAAAGCAGAGTATTTTCAGTGTGTGGCTACCTTAATAAAGTGGATTTACTACACCAGTTGTGGTTGACAATTTTATATTCCCTAAGGATTATACTTTAGATAGAAACTTTGGTAGTCCCAATATAGTCTGAACACTTAGCTATAGTTTTGTATAACTTTTTATTTTATTCTAAGCAAACAGTTCTCCTTTTCTTCCAACTAGGGCTTTTTTCCCTACCAAAATAATATATATTTTTTAGTTTTTGGAATGCCAACAGTTAAACATCATAAAAACATTAAATTCTCACTTTAGAATATGTTTGGAAGAGGGATAAAGAGAGAGGCAGAGAGACACTATAACAATGCCTTAAATTGTTCATGCCACAGTTATCTTAAGATTACAAAGAAGTCTGAGTTCCATACAGCAAATGCCAGAGTTCCTGTGAACGGTGGATGCCTTTTCATATTCTAAAGTCACTCTTATGCTTGGGGCAGTAGCCAAATTTCTGTGTTTCAAGAATGGTATTAGGGTTGCCAGCTTTACTGGCAGAGAGGCCCCAAAATAACAGCGTTTTGTGAGAACTTACATTACCATTTACATTCTGAAGGCCAAGAGCTGTACAGAGTGAGACTATCCAAGGAGGGGCCCCCTGAGGACATTTAACGAGCAGCACTGAGAGACCTTAAGGATGGTTCTTTTTATAACTCTCTTGTAGCCATTATAGCATTACCTCAAGGCTAAAATAACAGTAAATATGTAGGAACGAGGCCACCAACAGAGATTTGGAAGACTCCTAAAATGGTATCGCTGTGCCTGAAACATGAAAATAATAGAGGTTGAGAAGTTACCCTAACATTAAGTTTGAAATCAGACTGGTTCGTAATAGAATGAAGTCTGCTGCCATAGTTGCCTCCATAAATGACTCTTAAGTGACAGTTATATGCAAACATACTGCATTAATTACTTACATGGTACAAAAATAAAATAAAAAGTCCAGCAGGAAAACGACAGCCTGGCAGAATTTATGAAGCCCTGTTGTACAGAGTCATAAAAAATCACCATGTTCTTGGGTGGATCATGGACTTCTGTTTTGTTATCTAGGTTAAAACCATGGCAGATAGTGCCTTGGGAGGATTTGACATGGAAAATTTGTTGCAGACTTTGTATGTAGAAAATAGAGCTGGATTCTTCTTTACTAAATTCTGTGAACATTCAGGAAACAAGGTAGAAAATAATGATTTTAAATCTAATTTTATGACTTTACCTCATTTTAAACTAAGAGAAGTTGAAGTAATTCAATGCTCAAATAATTATATTTGATATTAAAATTCCCATTTCTTCTGGTAAGAAATTTTATGCTAAATATTTAGTAAAAATGTAAACATCTCAGTTATAATTCTCTTGGTTCACTATCCTACTAGAATTACAAAGAAAAGTAAAGGATTGACTTGTATTATTTTTTTTTAAATATTTTTATATTTATTTATTTTATAGAGTGAGAGAAAGAGCGTGCCAGCAGAGGGGAGGGGCAGAGGGAGGAGAGGGAGAGAGAGAATCCTGAAGCCGACTCCCCACTGAGCATGGAGCCAGACATGGGCCTTGATCCCAGGACCCTGAGATCATGACCTGAGCCGAAATTGAGTTGGACGCTTAACTGACTGAGCCACCCAGGCGCCCCTTGACTTGAATTATTAACAATATTTTATTCTCATGTAATTTTGTTTTGATGTAATATATATTAAATTCAGAGTTGATGTCTATCAATCCTTTAATTTTCATTTTTAATAACTCTAACAATTAGAAGTTGCAATGGATAGTGGAAAACTCATTGCCAGTTTTGTTTTGTTTTCATTTTGCTCAAATGTAAAATATTTCACTGGCTCAATTATTAGAGTAGTGTTTGGTTTCAGTATGATATACATTTGTCCATATATATCAAAATACCTCCAGATTTTGGTTTCATGCCAGAAATATGTCATTACTCTTTAATTGTTAACTAGCATGCTTCCTATTTTAATGGCCAATTATATAAGAGGCATACATGCAAAAATATAATATTTTAGTGACAATACCAGTAAATATTTTGTATGCTGCCAGTTTGTAATAGAAGATAAGACCATCTTAAATTGAACCTGATTTATGGTAACACCAAGGAGCTGAACAATTATTTATATTTGAAATTAGAGCTTTGTAGAGCTTTAATAATTGGGTGGTAATGATTTATGTATTTTTTCCACCTACAGTTGTGGAAGAACAGTGTGTACTTTTGGTTTGACCTACAGGCTTATCATCAGCTTTTCTACCAAGAAACACTTCACCCTTTTAAAGTATGCAAACAAGCCCAAGTAAGTAGTAAATAATGTTGGTTCAATGTGCAGCTCTAAGTACACAAAAAAAAATGAAAAAGTTGTGTCCAGCTCCAAACAAGAGAAATCTGGGACTACAGGCAAAAAGGCAGCAGGTAAATTGTTGCCATGGGATTTCTTCATTTAAATGTCAGTACAATATTGTTTTATAGTCTGATTTGTGGGTTTCCATTTTATCTATTTTATTTGGTTTGCTTTATTTTCTCTGCTGGCAAGTACTTGTTCTGCCAATAAAGGACATCCCATATTTTTTGTAATTTATGCCTTTTTGGTTTGGTTGTGAGTGACTTAAAAGAGAACCCTGAGAGAGGACTTGTCATGAATCATTGAAGTGATGGGGAACAGAGACACTGACCAGAGCTATTCTCTGAGCTTACTGTAGGAATCAACTGTTGGACATACTCAGCCTGGTGACCTTCTAGAGGGCGGGAAATGATGTTGACTCTGTGGTGTAGGCTCCATGTCATCCCCTATGCTTCGGTACTACACACCATGTAAGACAGAGACAGAGGTGGAGGAAAGAACATCTCAAGACCATGCCGAAGCAAAACAGAGGAGGAAGAACAGAGGATTCTCTGCAAAGGGAAACCGAGAGAGTGGCCTCTTTTGAGGGGGAAGGAAAGAGAATAGAATTATGACTCAAGCTCACTTAATCTTTTCAGTTTTTTATTCTTAGGATCTTGTGATCTTTTTTTTCTTTCAAATTATTTATTTATTTGAGAGAGAGAGAGCATGAGCAGGGGGGAGGGCAGAAAGAGAGGAAGAAGCAGACTCCTTGCTGAGCAGAGAGCCCGACATAGGGCTCGATATCAGGACCCTGAGATCATGACCTGATCCCAAGGCAGATGCTTAACTGACTGAGGCACCCAGGAGCCCTAGGATCTTATGATCTTTTATGGAGAGAAGTCTTCAAGCCTAGAAAACTGCTAATCACTTCTATATTTGTTCACCACGTAAGTGGTTCTCATAAGCTGGAATAACCCCATTCCGGAGAACCTCTCCCCAGATGATGCAGAGATAGTTTTGTCATATTGTGTATTACCTTATTTATTTTTTTTTTTAAAGATTTTATTTATTTATTTGACAGAGAGAGACACAGCGAGAGAGGGAACACAAGCAGAGGGAGTGGGAAAGGGAGAAGCAGGCTCCCCGCAGAGCAGGGAGCCCGATGTGGGACTCGATCCTAGGACCCTGGGATCATGACCTGAGCCAAAGGCAGTCGCTCAACCGACTGAGCCACCCAGGCGCCCTTATATTCTTATTCAGGATCTCAGAGAGCTGCTGGATGTTTGTTGTTCCTTCCACCACCCGGACTCAGGTGTTAATAACTATGCTTTGTAAATCAGCTGACAGAGCTTTGTACTTTTTATTATGAGAACAAGGGCTTCAGCTGCTACCTAGCCCAGATCTGGCTCAATGCAATCATGAAATTATAGCTCTAATTTGCCAGTACCATTTTTTGAGACCACATAGTGGGCTCTTTTGCTTGTTCATCCTTGACCTGTGGGTCTCTACATATCCCCCTCCCCCTGGCCTATTGCTCCTGTCTGGAAAAGTACCATCTGTTATTTATTATGTTTTCACTACTGCAAAGCCCACTCCTCCAAACATCTTTGGCTGATCCATCAAGTGGGTTCTTTGTTGTTGTTGTAGTCACCATATTTCCACGCACTTGTACAAATGGAAATTCTATTTAAGTTTGGTAGACTTACTAGTTCTTAGTAATGAAATTATTCTACCCGCTATAGAAGTATTGTGAAACAGGATACAACCAACTTTTGGTTATTCTGAGATGGATTATTCTGTTTGGGGATCATCAAGGTCTGAAAGCTTTTTATCCTCCTCTAGATTATCTTCTAAAATTTTTTTTTTTAAAAAATAGAAGTATAATTAGCATACAATGTTAGATTCATTTCAGGTGTACAACATAGTGATTTAACAATTTTGTACATTACTCTGCTCATCATTGTAAGGGTAGTCACATCTGTCACCAAACAACATTATTACAACATTAATAACTATATTCCCTATGCTGTGCTTTTCATCACCATGACTTATTTTATAACTGGAAGTTTGTATATCCCTTAATTGCTTTTATCTGTTTTATTCATGTCCCCATTCACCTCCCCTCTAGCAACCACCAATTTGTTTTTGTATTTAAGAATCTGTTTTCTTGTCGGGGCGCGTGGGTGGCTCAGTCGTTAAGCGTCTGTCTTCGGCTCAGGTCATGATCCCAGCATCCTGGGATCGAGCCCCACATCTGGCTCCCTGCTCTGCAGGAAGTCTGCTTCTCCCTCTCCCACTCCCCCTGCTTGTGTTCCCTCTCTCACTGTGTCTCTCTCTGTCAAATAAATAAAATCTTTAAAAAAAAAAATCTGTTTTCTTGTCATTTGTTCATTTGTTTTGTTTTTTAGATTCCATATATAAGGATGGACCTAGAGGGTGTTATGCTAAGTGAAATAAGTCAGAGAGATAAATACCATATGACTTTACTTATTCTTCCCTAGGTTATCTTTTGGGGAGTCACAGCAGGAGGGAGGGGGGGAACAATGGAGAGAGTTGCCTTCAGGTTAATAGAGGGAAATTGAAGGAGCAAGTCATGTGATTTTTTTTTTCTTGGCTTGTTTGCTTTTTACATCTATGGTTACTTTATTTTTTGGTTAATAGAGCAATGGTCTAGATTGGTTTAGGTTTTAATTATCCAAGATTTCTGTGCCTCCAGATATAAGAATTGCCTCACAGTATGAAATAGCATTCATTTCTTTATAATACAAATGCTGTACGGCTTTCTTCAAGGGTATATTTACAATACAGATATTTGGATCAATAATGCCAATGGTAGAATGTAATCAGCTGGCACCATGTTAAAGGCACTGTGAACAATATAAAATTGTTTTTATACATCTGACACGCTATATGGTAGGAGACCAAGAGTTGGTTCCAAGGGACTTATATGCTTTTCTGTATGATAGTAAGCAAATTACATACCTTGAAGTTTTGCCTGATAAAATATTGCAGAAGTAGGCAGACTAGATGCGGAATCAGTGACAGTGACTTAGCAAGAGTAATTGTCCAAGAGCTTGAACTGCAGCCTAGGGCGCATCCTGAAGATTTTACTGCATGGCTTCAAGATAGAATAGTGCAGTTAGAAGCCAATTGAAATGGTCTTGGCAAGGAGAAAAGGAGTCACTTACCCTAGTGCAGAGGTAAAGTCTTTGACTCTATTAACAGTTTTCCAGGGGACCATCTACCACTGCTAAGATTTGGAGCCTAGAGTGTTGCCACAGATAGTCCTACTGCTTTTTTGATACTACATACTTGCTTCAGTGATAGAGTACTACAAAAGGATGAAGGAGATCTGGGTACCACTGTCTTTTTTTTTTTTTTTTTTTAAAGATTTTATTTATTTATTTGAGAGAGAGAGAATGAGAGACAGAGAGCACGAGAGGGAAGAGGGCAGAGGGAGAAGCAGACCCCCTGCTGAGCAGGGAGCCCGATGCGGGACTTGATCCCGGGACTCCAGGATCATGACCTGAGCTGAAAGCAGTCGCTTAACCAACTGAGCCACCCAGGCGCCCATGGGTACCACTGTCTTTTATGACATCTTTCATCTTTGTAGAAATCTGTCAAACAAAGCGCATTCCAGCAAAAACTAGGCATTTAGAATTTACCACTCTCTACAGCATATACACTGAGAATTTGTTTTGAAATAAGCAAACAAGTATGATCATAAATATTGCACATGTTTACACACATGTACACACACTTATTCTTATTAATCACATACATATTTAAGTGGGAAAGAGGAAGAGAGAAAAAAAAAAGTAAAAATTAGAGCCCAGGAGAAAAATTATTTGGAGAATGTAGGAATTAATGAGTGGAGAGAGTAGGTAAGAATGAAATGGAAAAGAGGAATAAGAGGATTTGCTTACTTTTACTACAAAGTGCTATTTAATATAAAGATATTCTTGCAGCAGTGTGAGATTTTTTGCCTTATTCAATGGAACATGTATCACCTAGATCAGAGGGTATATGACATAGAAGGGAAAAAAAAATCACAGACTTGGAGTTGAAAGAAATGAATTTACATCAGATGGTGTTATTATTATGCTAGTTCTTAGCTGGGTAAACTTAGTCAAGTCAGTCAGTTTAATAAGCCTCAGTTTCATGTCCTATAAAATGTGGGTGGTAATAATGCTTTACATTTTATTTCCTTCTACTGTTTTAGAAGTTACATATTCTATTTCTCTTTTCACGCTTACAGTTTTAACATGCATACCAAAATTAACAAAGTCTACAATTAATCATTATCTTAATCCTTTCAAATAACTTAAGGATCTTAGAACACTTTAATTCCACCACACCTTGCCCATTTTACATATCATTTTTGTATGGCATTTAAATTTTTTTTATATACCTACCAAGTAGCTATCATCATTTTTGTTTTGATACCATTGATGTTTGTGTAGATTTATTCACACACAGATTTCATGCTTATCATTGCTTTTTGCATCATATTCCTTCCTTTGGGTTTCATTTCTGAAGAATATCTTTTAGTAGGGTTTTCATTAGGATTTACTAGTGGTAAAAAATCAGATTTTATTTGTCTGAAAATGTTTATTTAAATTCTCTCATCGGTCATGTGACTGAATATAGAATTATAGGTTGACTATTTTCTCTCAGCACTTTGAAGATATTATTCTACTGTCTTAGGGTTTCTGTTGCTCTTTTTGAGGAGTCTCCTGTTGCCCCTTTGCTTTTTCTCATCGTTTGATTTTTAATCTTCTCTTAAACTTCAGTGTTCCATATTGCACCTCAGTATGTTTACCATAATTATCTTTCTTGGGTTGAAGTTGCTTCTAGAATCTGAGGAATCATGTCTTTTATCAATTCTGGAAAATCCTCAGCCATTATTTCCGTCAGTTTTTCTACTTGTCTTTTCTGTGTTCTCTCCTTCAGGATTCCCTGTCTGGTAATGT